TAGACAAGAATGAGATTAGGTTTCATTTTATTTTTGTCTGAATATTTGTTAATCAACTGAATTTATAAAAGGCATAAAACTATGTTTACCTACTTCAAGATCTTCATCATATAGTCCAATGTTGGGTATGTCGGCCTGATGAAAGTCCTGTTCCCACCTCGAGTACACTTTCTCCTCGTTCGGGTCCTTAGTCACTGACCGAGACTTAAACCATATCATCAGTTTTCTGTGTATGAGATGAAAACTAGAGTGTAACAGAAACTGGATATCTATAGATTAAAAAATCAAGAGGCAACTGTGGAGTCGAAATTGTATCCACATGCGACGATGAGAAAATTGTTCACACAACAAACCTTGAAAATACACGATGTGATAAACTGTTTATCATCTATAAAACCTGATACAAATTTCACCAATCATAAAGTAACATCAACCGAGTACAATATCTTCTAACTTACGTCTAGTGATTGTTGAGATTCTTGGTCAGGGACAAATGTTAACAAATACAAGTTTTTTGCGGAGGAATACTGTAAAACTATGGAGAAACATAATTTAAAACAATTCTTGTCATTTGCTGCTCCATATGCATATTGACACTTAAAACGGAGTTGTTTCAGAGCACTTTTTTTATTGATACTAAGTACAGGTTGTGCCATTTGTGATAAAATAAAACTTTCTTAAATGGGAAAATCAATTTATAAGTTGTTCTCAATTTGCTCTCAACTTCTTCCCAAGTGTTCTCATACTGACAATTTGTGATAATGAACTTTTCACACAACTGGTTGGCGTACTTGGTACTTGCCAACTCTCTTTATTTTAGAAGGAGACTCCTGATTTTGGCCTCTTAAATTTAACAATTCAGCTAGTAAACTTGCTGATTTAACCTCTGTAGAAAGGCTGTGACCTCAATACCAAGACAGTGACCTCTGTAAGGAGGCCGTGACCTTTGTTACTATCTAGTTTGTGATCTTTACCAAGACTTTCACCTCTGTACTGAGGAAGTCAATGTGGTGCTAGGCTGGACCCAATACTTACTTGTCCTTGAAGAATGCAATATAGAAGATGGAGGAATAGTAGTTGACAAACTGGAACAGGAACATCTTAAATGTAAAGCCATCTTCCCATTCTGTCTGGGTACGGTGTTGTTCTGGAAGGCAATTATAGAATATTGTAACACAGAGTGATATAAGAATGATCTTATCCATGAACAAACGTAACAACCAACAGCTGTTTTGGAATATGTATTTCTGAACACTTTGAATATCCAGCAGACTTCCTGAATTTACACAGAGTTTAAAAGTAAAATTGTATGAACCCTTTTACAGCTGCAGGCAAAACACAATAGAGAACATTCCAATGTAAACTTTTGTACATACAATAAACTCCATTCAACTCATTCACCCCTCAAGACACATTTGAACTCTTCCAATTCAAATGTTAGAATAATTCATTATGAAATGTTAGGGGTTACGGTAATGAGCTAATTAGATGTACATGTAACTATAGAGTGACTCGGCCAGGTTACTACTGTTGACAAGGTAGCTCAGTTGGTTAGAGCCATTAGTATACTGATCCGAGGTCAAGGGTATCAATTCTGATACACAAACAGACAATTACAAATTAATTACTCTGTGTGGCAAGATACATGTATATACATTCAGTCAACTTCTGATGTAATTTTTAAAATCCCAGACCAATTCCATTTTTTTTTTTCATTTATAGAATATTTTCACATTACAATGTACATTTATTTATCATTCAAATCTTTTCTTTTCAATTTCTCACATAATAACACCAGACAAACAATACAAATGCAAAACAGTGGTCATCAATAGACTCAAAGTTAAAAACTTCAGAACAGCTATTTAAAGTTTACAATCTAAGGGAGACAAATACACTATAGCACCTCTATACTGCGCCAAACCATGTTCTAGTTAGGCCACATTCATTTATCACAATCCAAACGGTTGAACCTGTTGAACCGGAGTTGTTTGTTTATGAAATAAGGTCAGACCTAGTAATCTGATGCTGCTTTCAGTAGAGCCTTGACAAAGCCTTGCAAGGCCTGCGTAAACATTTGCAGGTCTGCCAGAGCTTACACCCAATAATGTTACATTTAACTGTTTAATAGGATACACTATAGCAGTAAAAAACACACAACAGGACACACATGCTTCAATTACCTTGTCAAAGAATTGTGATATTTAACGGCATTTGTTGAACCTGGTGACATATGTTTAACGTTGTGACAGTTCTGAAATTACAAAATAACAAATCAAATTTAAACTATTTTCTTACATTACTAGTTACAATGTATACTTCAGGTATATTTGAGTGGTATCAACTTATATGATTCAAAATTACTAATCCCTTATCAAATCTTCTTTGTTGTGCAATTTACATATATGTCATCAATTCTTGTGTACCTATAATTAGGTCATTAATGCTTGTGTACCTTTCAAATATGTCATTGATTCTTGTGTATTTTTTTAAGTTTGTCATCAATACCAGAGTTCTTTTCTAAATGTGTCATTAATTCTTGTCTACCTTTTAAAATGGCATCAATTATGTGCACCTTTCAGAAGGACCAATTTTACAGATTCTTTAGTGTAGAACTCTTTTTGATGCATATCACAAAGGTAGCATATATCCTTAAGCCTGAAATTGCATTTGACTATGAAATTGTAATGTAGAATTAGAGTTGGTTCTCTGAGGTCGCAATATCCCTGAGATGCTTGCTACCTTGTTCTTCACGTCCTTAAATGACCTTGGTTGTTAATAGGTTGTTAAACAAGATAAAATCAACAAGGCAAAGTATTGTAAGGCAATCCATAGTCCCCCACCAGTAATGATTTCTATATTTAACAAACAGTACACTTATGTCAGGAAGCATAGGTCACAGTGAAATCATAGTGACCTACTTCTTGCACTCCGCCATCCCAAGATGTCTGTGAACACCAAGTCTGGTTACTCCAGGTGAAATAGTATAGAAGATATGCCCTGGACAAACTTTTTCAAAAGTAAAGGTCAAATGTCAAGTCATAGGTCACAGTGACCTAATTCTTGTCNCCAAAATATTTTTTTGTACACCAAAACTGGTTACTCCAGGTGAAATAGTATAGAAGATATGTCCCAGACAAACTTTTTCAAAAGTAAAGGTCAAATGTCAAGTCATAGGTCACAGTGACCTAATTCTCACACTCTGCACTCCGCCATTCCAAGATGTCCTTGTTCATCAAATCTGGTTACTCCATGTGAAATAGTATAGAAGATATGTCCCGGACAAACTTCTTAGACAGAAAGCAAACCTAGTATAGTCCCCCACCCCCCACCCCAGGAACTAGTTGGGGACTAAAAACCAACCTTATACTTTCTGAACAGGATAGAGACTTAACCGACACATGCTGTTCTTGTTATTATTCAAGGTCACTCAGTAAGTTACCTCACATCAAGAAACTTTGTCAGTTAAAACAGACAATTCAGAAAGCATTTTGCTCAACTTCAAATTTAGTCATAGGCTTTGTCTACTGTACAAGCTTAATTAAGTTTCATCAAAATCGAATGATATTTAAGCAGTTTATCCTACCAAAACCAAAGTTTGGACAGACAGACGGACAGAGAGACAGACTATCTCAATACCTTAATACATCCCGTCAAAAATTTTGACAGGTGTAAATAAAAAGTTTTTGTTCTGATATGTAATCTTTATACATGCTGAATTTCTGGACTTTTCCTTCAGTAGTAATATTCATCATAACTATTTTGACAAATAACTGTAATAGTTTTCACACAATGGGATTTATACAAAATTGAGTCCCCTTGGCCCAAGGATGCTCCAGACTAAATTAGGATAAAATCCCTTAATCCCTACGGTAGAAGAAGGATTTTGAAGGTTTTACCTCTATTTCCCCTATTGGGCCCCGCCCCTCTGCCCCCAGGGGGGGCCACACCCACCATTTATACAAAATTGAGTCCCCTTTGCCCAAGGATGCTCCAGACCAAATTTAGTCAAAATCTACTTGGCCGTTCAGGACTAGTAGCGTTTTAAAGGAAAAGTTGACAGACGGACGACGGACGCTGCGGTATGGCATAAGCTCACCATGGTCCTTCGGACCAGGTGAGCTAAAAAATCAATCATTTCACCACAGCTCTTTTTCTACATAATTATTTAATATTTATTTAGCATAAGACTAAAAAAAAATCTACATATTTTAATTTGTTTTAGCATAAGACTGAATTTTTTTCTACATACTTAAATATGTTTTTAGTATAAGACTGATTTTTTTTCTACATACTTTAATATGTTTTTAGCATAACACTGAAATTTTGTCCTTAGTCACACTGGTCTGTATCATTAAAAAAAAAAAATCTTAGAAAATCTTCAACAACATTTTTGTAACCATTTCAGTGCCTTACCTATTGTTGTCCTTGGGGTTGTCGCGGTTTAGGACCTCCTGTAACCAATTCAGTGCCTTACCTATTGTTGTCCTTGTGGTTGTCTCGGTTTAGGACCTGCTGTAACCATTTCAGTGCGTTACCCATTGTTGTCCTTGGGGTTGCCACGGTTTAGGACCTCTTGTAACCATTTTCGTAAATTATTATGTGATTTTCTGTTCGTCAGGTCATGGACTAGAATGATACCTGTAGAAGTTAAAATGTTTTTGTCTTTAAGAAATGACATACTTAGTTATGTATCCCCGACCCACTGCAGACAAAACACCAGAGACTTGAATTATATATTTCATGAAATAAAGAAGCGTCTTTTCTCATGCATGCAGCATATACTTTGTAATAGTTCTGGAAAATCTTCCTGATGAACTCTCAAAATTTTAGAAATAAAAATAATAACAGCTTACTTTTCCTTTTTTGTCAACATTTAACAACAACAGGAGATTTTTTCTCCTTTATGCAATTATGTTGACTATTGAATAAGTATAT